CCTTCGGGCAGGAGTTCCCTTGGAACAGGTCTCCAGGCATGCTGTGGTTTTCACAGATGCCTCTGCCACCGGCTGGGGTGCCACGTACAACGGGCATGCAGTGTCAGGGGTGTGGACGGCTCCCCAACTGCATTGGCACATCAATTGCCTCGAGTTGCTAGCAGTACATCTCGCTCTGAGCCGCCTGAAAAGGCCGCTACGGGGCAGGGACGTGCTGGTCCGTACGGACAACACTGCGACCGTGGCGTACATCAACCGACAAGGTGGTCTACGCTCCCGTCGCATGTCGCAACTCGCCCGCCATCTCATCCTCTGGAGTCAGAAGCGTCTGAGGTCGCTTCGAGCCATGTATGTCCCTGGCGTGCTCAACCGTGTGGCCGACGAGCTATCACGAGCTGTGCTTCCGGGAGAATGGCGACTCCACCCCCAGGTGGTTCAGCTGATCTGGAGAGAGTTCGGAGAGGCTCAGGTAGACCTGTTTGCCTCTTCAGAGACCTCCCACTGCCAGCTGTTTTACTCCCTGACCGAGGGAACACTCGGCACGGACGCACTGGCACACAGCTGGCCCCGGGGCCTCCGCAAATATGCGTTTCCCCCAGTGAGCCTACTTGCACAGACACTGTGCAAAGTCAGGGAGGACGAGGAGCAGGTCCTTCTGGTGGCTCCCTATTGGCCCACCCGGACTTGGTTCCCAGAACTCATGCTCCTTGGGACAGTCCCTCCCTGGCCCATTCCTCTGAGGAAGGATCTTCTGACTCAGAGACGGGGCACCCTATGGCACCCGCGTCCAGACCTCTGGAAACTCCATGTCTGGTCCCTGGACGGGACGCGGAGGTTCTAGGTGACTTACCCCCTGAGGTACTTAACACCATCACTTCAGCACGGGCGCCGTCCACGAGACGTGTTTACGCCCTGAAGTGGAACCTGTTCGACGAGTGGTGTTCTTCTCGCCGAGAAGACCCCCGAAGATGTTCGATAGGGTCTGTGCTTTCCTTCTTGCAGCAAGGGTTGGAGCGAAGGCTGTCTCCCTCCACCCTCAAAGTACATGCTGCAGCTATTTCAGCTTATCACGACCACGTAGATGGCAAAACAGTGGGGAAGCACGACCTGGTCGTCAGGTTTCTTAGGGGGGCGAGACGATTAAATCCTCCTCGACCCCACTCCATACCCTCTTGGGATCTTCCCCTGGTGCTTCGAGCACTTCAGGATGTTCCCTTTGAGCCTCTGCAGTCAGTAGACTTAAAGCTTCTTCCATGAAGACTTTGCTACTGGTTGCACTGGCCTCTGTCAAGAGGGTAGGAGACCTGCACGCATTTTCGGTCGACGAATCGTGCCTAGAGTTCGGGCCGGGTGACAACCATGTGGTATTAAGACCCCGGCCTGGCTATGTGCCCAAGGTTCCTACCACTCCCTTCAAAAACCAGGTAGTGAACCTGCAAGCGCTGCCTTTGGAGGAGGCAGACCCAGCCCTGGCTTTGCTCTGTCCCGTTCGCGCTCTGCGTATGTACGTGGACAGAACTCAAAGCATCAGGACCTCAGACCAGCTCTTTGTCTGTTATGGAGGCCAGCAGAGGGGAAAGGCTGTGTCCAAGCAGAGGATGGCCCACTGGATAGTGGATGCCATCGCCTTGGCTTACCAAGCTCAAGGCGTGCCCTGCCCGCTCAGGTTGCATGCACACTCCACGAGAGGCGTTGCATCCTCCTGGGCGCTGGCACGTGGCTCCTCGCTAACAGATATCTGTAGAGCTGCGGGCTGGGCGACACCTAACACGTTCGCTAGATATTATAGCCTACGTGTAGAGCCGGTCTCCTCCCGTGTTTTCACCCTAAACGGGTAGAAGCACCGAGAGGCCCGGCTCTGTCGGCTTGCTGCACCCTACTGTGCACCCTTATTGCTCCAGAGTGAAAAACCTGTTGAGTCCTCCAAAAACCCCTCGCCCCGGACATGGCGGAGCGTCCAGGTGCCAGGCCTTTATCCGCTGAATCCTTGAGAACCGGATCTGGGCTGGGTTCCATATGTGTGACCCTACGGGGATCCCATATGTGTATATTTTCCACGGCTGCTCCTAACGGAAGCCCGTGTCTTTCCCTTGGGCTAAGTCACCCACTATCTCATATGTAGTACAGCCTTCGGGCTAGTCCATATGTATTCCCCACATAACTCCTTGAAGTAAGTGGCTTCCGCAGCGTCCTCCTTCCTAACTGAAGGGCACGCTTTCCCAGTGTTATCCAATAATCTCACTGTATGGGTTATTACGGAACAACAGTGACAGATACACTCTGTGTGTAGCCTCCTCCTATCGTCCTTCTAGGCAAGAAGGTGTAGAGGCTTGCATGGGGCGCTGGATGGGGTGCAGCAGCTGTGGCGCTTTGGTAGGGATTCCTATTGGTCAGTCTGACCTACGTTGTAGTGACTGACCGATAGGGAACGTCTCGGTTACATATGGTAACCCTCGTTCCCTGAGGGAGGGAACGGAGACGTAGGTCCCGTCGCCACATCTGCTGCCGCCCGCTGGGGCGGCCAGCTTTTTCAGGTTTGGCTCCTCAGCAAAAAACTAGTGTGCAATCATAACAGCTGCTGTTAAATACCCGCGCTGACGAGGACCGCAGCTGATGCAAATGATTGCATGCCAATGTGCATTGGCTTGTTTTAGTTTCACTCGAAGTAGATTGGCCTCTCTAGCGAGATTCCTATTGGTCAGTCTGACCTACGTCTCCGTTCCCTCCCTCAGGGAACGAGGGTTACCATATGTAACCGAGACGTTATCCCTATAATCAGAGTGAAATGATAGGTGAATAACACTGATGTAGAAGCACCTAATCCTGGTTTTAAGCCTAAACTTGACATAAACTGTAAACTTGTCCCTCAAATCTGATTGGTTGATTGGAATGGTGTTTCAGGATCAACAAAGTTGATGGGCAGTTCCAGTGGGCAGGCGGCATAGGAGCAACTGGACAACTGAAGTATATTTTCTAGGGCCGGGACTTTAACGCGTTAATTAAGATTAATTAATTACAGACTTTAACGCGTTAATTAATTACACAAATTATTTTAATCAAACTTAGTTTTGCACCACGGAACGTTTCTCACTGGTTGAGTTTCGGCGGACCGATTATACTGGCGCACCAACTAGCGCTCATGACGAAGAAACTGACGAGATCATAGACAGTAAAAGAAATGGACAGAGCGATCTCATTGGAACTCAGTTGAGACAGTTGAAGCCCACTTTTAGCGATTTTTGAGAACTTCCGTTCCTGACGCGCAGACTCAGACCGACTCAAACTAAGCTTGATGACGTGAGCAACCTGTCTGACAGACGTTAATCTTCTAGTAGCTGTGCGTGAAAACTGCCAACGTTAATCTTGCAGAGACGGGGAACTTGAGCAAAGAGTTCTTTGGCGTGAGTGAGCAGGAGTAAGAATTCCGTTGCTTTCATGGACTCATTATCTATGGGCTTCTCCCTTGACGGGACGTCCCCCCGATTGCCTGCGAGCTTCTCCTCCTGTCTGTACGGTAACTTCTGTACAGCGCGACAGAGAGTCGAGTGGTTATGACGCAATCGTTAGCCTATTTTTACTAAATCTGTTTCTACGTGGCCATAGTGTAACATAGAAGGTAATGGAGCCCTTTATACATTGTCGTGTTTCTTTAGAAATAAATAATGGACAAATGGAGTCTTTAAACGCCTCAGATGTAAAGTTATTCGCTGTCAAAGTGACGCAAAAATGAATGGGAGTCAATGGAAATGCTAACGCAAGTGAAGTTCTGCTACAACATGGCGGCACCCGGCCGGCATCAACTTCCGGTCGATGGATTACCCCCTTGGACGAGATCGCTTTGGTTGGCCGGTGGATGGGAAATTTTGTTATAAAAAGCGAATGGATGGAATCGTCGATAAGAGCATGGTTGTGTGCAAGCTATGCAACAAGGAATTCGCTATTGCTATTATGGTGTGTTCACACCGAACGCGAATAGAGCGTCAAATACGCGTCTATTGCGTCTAGTTAGACGCTTGAACATTCGCTCGAGTCCAAATTTTTTCAACTTGCCGGGAAGACATTCGCGGCAAACGCGTTGCCCAATTCGCGTCATTCGCAACGCCCGGCGCGAATGATGCGTCTATTCACGTCTTTGCATTGACTTTGTATGTAATCTACTCGCGCAAATAATTAAATTCGCGTTCGGTATGAACACACCATTAGTGTGTTCAATATGCTATTGCTACACTTAATGGCAAAAATTGCACTGGTCTGCTGGACTTGGTTGAACAAAAATAAACTATTTTGTTGCTTAAGCTTATGTATTCAGTCATTATTCAATAGTATACTAAAAATCCATGTGAAAAAAAAATACTTCTCACTGTTCTCAGGTCAAATATTTATGCAAATAAAATGCGATTAATTTCGATTAATTAATTACAAAGCCTCTAATTAATTAGATTTTTTTTTTTAATCGAGTCCCGGCCCTAATATTTTCAACTTGTGTTTAACTGTGCTAGGATCCATACACACAACAATGCAAACTGGTGCACAGAATGTACACAAAAACTCTAATACCTGTAGCTGAAAATAAATAAATGATTATGTATTTTGTTAATCTTTTTAGTAGGCCTACTACATTATCATAAAGATGCGTTATCATGTTACACACAACAAATTATTGAACTTTTTTTTTAAAGTTTTTAAATAAATGAAAAAGGCTCATTAAGTGCTTTCACTTATAACAAATCAAATGTGTTTAATACGTTTTTTTACCCATGAGCTAACAATTAAACCCAAGAGATTTCAGTACATCTCTTACAGAAATCCCCAATGATAAAATACTAATAAAAACCAACCAATCCTCCCAACATTCTGTTTATTTGTGAAACTCTCTGTCATTCCTTCAGCCAACAGTGGATGCTTAAGCCTAATGAGAAGTAAACTGTTTTAAAAGTGTATCTAAACTTCGCAAGTTGTATTGCATTTCCATTTTGCTTCATGTGATTTAAGGGATCATGCATACCATGATGGATAACATGTCTTATCCTGTGATACTGACTCTCATGGTGCCCAGAGACTCAAAATCATATAGACATGTGTATTTTATTTGCTTTCTTGCCTTATATGTGCTTATATTGTCAATTAATATCCGTCTTGTTATGGTCATCATCATGGAAAAAGCACTTCATGAACCGATGTACATTTTCTTGTCTCATCTGTGTGTAAATGGGGTTTATGGAGCCTCGGGATTCTACCCTAAATTTCTGTCTGATTTAATATTGGATTCATATGTGATCTCCTCTCACATGTGTGCTCTGCAGATCTTTGTTATTTACAGCTCTTTACTGTGTGAGTTTACAATATTAACAGTGATGTCTTATGATAGATATGTAGCCATATGCAAACCTTTAGACTATCATTCCAAATTAACTAAATTCACCTGTGTGAAATTAATTCTGTTTTCATGGATTGTACCCTCTATTTCTGTATTCACTGCCACTCTGTTATCAAATTTGAATCCATTTTGTGCTTATCATGTAGATAAATTATATTGTGACAACTGGTCAGTTGTAAAACTGTCTTGTGCATCATCTTTTGTAAATAATGTCTATGGATATATTGTTGCTGTTATATTTGTTAGCTTTGTAGTTATCATCATAGTGTCCTATATTAAACTGATCTCTGCATGTAAAGCATCTTTAGAAAACAGAAGGAAATTCTGGCAAACGTGTCTGCCACACATTTTATTACTGATAAATTTCACTTTTGCTGTGTTATTTGATATAATGTATAGCAGATATGGTTCAAATGATATTCCAGAGAGTCTGCGTTATTTTTTGGCTTTAGAATTAGTCATAGTCCCACCTGTTTTTAATCCACTAATCTATGGGTTAAATATTAGAGCAGTGCGCCAAAGAGTTTTTACTTCATGTGTTGCATCAAGAGTAAATGTTTCACGTGCACCAAGAAGATGTAAAACATAATTATTTTCTGTACTTTTCTGAATGCTTACAGTTGTCATGACATTTTGGTTTTTATTAAAGAATTGTGACCAAATTAATTTTGTACAAGAATATTACTAATGAAGTGTGAAATATGTATATGATATATGTAGGCTATATGTCTCTTGATTCAAGGCCAAAAATATGTCTAAAAAGAGATTTTCTTAACAAGTAGGCCTGGATCATAATGGTCTCTTAAGAGTTTTTTACATCTTAACATCATTGTTGTATTTTTGTGCAATGTTTCCTTTATAAATTTGTAAATTATTTAGAGTTTGATAGTGTAGGCAAACAGGTAAATCAAATAGATATTGCTATTACTTTTCACAAGTCAGTACTGTCTCTGGCAATACATTGCAAAGAAAATTATATTTATGTATCTTTATTTCATTCAGCTGAACCTCTATTCAAACAATATAAGGCAAAATTCACGACCAAATTTGCTATAATAATATTTTTTTGGACTGAAACAAGATATTGAATGGGGGGGGGGGGGAAATGACTGAACAGAACGACACCCAATTTTCGGGTTAAAGGTCAAGTTCACCCAAGAGAGAGGTGTGATGAGAGTGAGATGAACTTGAACCCATGTGCAGTTTATTGAAATGAAATCCAAAGTGGGCAAAACAAAGACTTTACTGGACCTGGAAACAACTCACCAACAGTAGTATGACACAAACAAAACTAGACAAGTAAAAATGGTAACATGAGGGCTATTTATACACAAAGACTAATGAGCAATAAAAAACACCTGACAATCAAGACAATAAACCAAAACAGAACATAGAAACACATGACCTGAACAACCAATCAGAACATTACACATATGATTAGGCAAACACATGACATGATCACACAATGGGATAAGGGAATCACATGACAAAACCAGGAAAAGGAGGCATGACTACAAAATAAAAGACATAAAAACATAAAAATTTGGACGGGTCGTGGGAATGGAGGTGTTTCATTAATAAAATTATTATTAGTGTTTTTGTTGTTGTTATTAATAATTGCTCAGACTTGCAGAAGAAAACATTTGACACGTCATTGACAATACAACGAGAGAGAGAGAGAGAGAGAGAGAGAGAGAGAGAGAGAGAGAGAGAGAGAGAGAGAGAGAGAGAGAGAGAGAGAGAGAGAGAGACATTATGACTGGTGTTGTTTATTGTAAGTGTTTGTTGCCTTTTTGGACTCCTTTATCTAATGGGCCTACCCTTTTCGCCACCCTCTCTGGGCCAGCATCCTCTAGCCTGGCCTTTTTAGGGGGCTTTCCTCTCAGGGGGAATTAGAGGATGCTTAATTGCTTTTTACCTGACATTTTTTAAAGAAAGATGCAATGATTAATGCATCCATGGCCAGGATATAATTATAAAATATGACATAATTTTAAAAGTGAACTATAACATCGACTATGCAATACACTTTAATTTATTTAGTACTCATAAAATTATTAAGCCTATTTGGAGAGAGAGAGATGTTTATAAATTGACAATATGTCAGTCATCGTGTGATAACGAAAATATGACTAGGCCTAGACTACTTGTTCTGAGCAAGTGTTGTCGGTGAACAGGCTGTAAAACTGTTGGCTAAGTTAGACACTCATAAAAAACTGATGCTAATTATCTGGGAAACATTCTTTAACAGCAGTCAAGTTGTCATTGTTTGTTTCAAACAAGTTGTGAATTTGTTGTAACATTAAAACAGGAGATCATGACTCAAAGTGATGCTCGGAGCTCCAGTGGTTTCCTCTGTGGGTGAACAAAACTTTCGGAAGATGTTGTAGCAGAATCTCGTGAACAATTCCAGGATACACTTTTTTTTCATTGGTTGTTGCGTTAAATCTTACCCAGATACAATAGTGCTATTTTCTGATTGGCTATTGTGTAGCGACTTTCTTTTTTTCTTTTTTTGATTGGCTGATACGTGGCAGGCTCGACTAAGAACTCCAGGGGAGACGTGCTTGATTCCTGCCGGTTCCATAGTGAGAGCGGCGCGGGCAGAGAAATTTTGGGCGCTGCTGCATATTAAATATATTATAAATAGTTTTTCTGCGTGAGAAATACAATCTGGCGGGAGTGCGTGACAAAAGACCGAAATGAGTGACTGTCACGCTCAATGCGTGACACTTGAGAACCGTGCATTTTAGACACAGTATTGCCTGTTTTTGCTCCATTGCTCCAATCCACCATGGCCCAAGCGCAACTGGCATTTAAAGGGAATGGGAGACGAGATTCTGATTGGTTTATTGCACATGAAGCCCAAAACACACCCATTACTCATTAAGAGAATAGGGACAACCCTTTTAGACCATGCGCAGGGCGCGCCGGCCATTTTTCCTGTCGTTAAACTAGCAAAAGTGGATTCGGACACGCCCTAACTGCACTTGCACTCTGGGCTTTAGACCAAGTTCTTAGATCATTAAAATAGGGCCAAAAGACTAATTCATTAACAGTGACTTGCTGCCACCTACTGGCGGTTTTAATTTCACAATTAACGTATCTTTTCATTTTTTTTAAATTATTTCTAATCTCAATATTCAACGCTTTATGTTCAAAACATCAAAATATTATTTATGCATTTGTAACTGCATGTTAAATGCATTCATGTCCCTCTGAGCTGCAAATGCATTTAAATGCCACTTCAGATGCAGCTTCTGTGTGTCACGTACTGCTCTGAGACACAAAAGTTGAGGATCCAAAAGCAGTATTTATTGAACAGGGTAATCCAAAGACCTAATCCAAAGTAGAGGCAAGGTCAAACACAGGCAGACAGTCCATACAAACAAACACAACAAGGCAGGGAACACGGGCAAAAGAGTTATCAACGGAACAGGCAAGAAATCCAAAACCAATAGACATGAAACTAGGGAGAATGCTCGGAATTGCAATGTAACACTAAACAAGACTTCGCCGGGAATAAATGAGTGTACATGATTTAAATAGGCTGAGACTGACAAGGTAATGAGATACGGGTGGATGCAATCAGGGATGATGAGTCCGGCCAGTGAGTTATGGGAATGGTAGTTTGTGAGGGAATGACTATGGTCTGATGTGGAGTGCCCTCTGGTGGCTCTCAAGGGCACTCCAGCTGGTGACCGTTACACTGTGTTCTCTTACGAGAGGTTCTCTCGTATTGCGTAAGTGTAGCTTATGCTGGGTACACACCAAAAGATTTTTTACATCTTATAAGATTTTCAAAATGTGATAGACCACAAACATGAGGACAAAAAATCCTAGATTTAAGCGTTTTGCTCCTATAGTGTGTGGTGTGCCATGATGTGACAAAGACAGCACACCACACACGAACAGATTTTCAACCAGAGTCTCGACTGTGAACAAAGGAAATCTCACAAAATCTCGCGAGACTTCAGAATAAGCTTGGCGGACGATATGCAGGAAGAAATTGCGATGATAGTGTTTGGAATGATTTTCACAGAAAAACATTCGTGCTGTTGCCACAAATCAACAAGCTGATCCTCTGCTGTCCACATCAATTTAACTTTTTGCAACGGCATGACTGCGTTTGTTATGCTTCCGTCTTCCATCATCTCGCTTTCTGATTGGATATTGTTTCGTTTCACGTGATAATCTCCACAGCGTGCGCACGTTTGTCATCGGGGTTCCCCCCACACATCAGGATTTCTGATCGTAAATATTCAACATGTTGAATATTTACGATTCGCGATCGGGGCGGCTCCGACGTTCTTCCGAGCAGGTTCGGACACTCTTAACACACCTCACACCAAGGGAAAATCTGATAAGATAATCTGTATAACCATCAAGATAATCGGGACATAGCTAGGATTGTCGGAAGGGGGAAAATCGGCCCAAAATCAGCCCGAATATCTTTTGGTGTGTACCCAGCATTACGCTATGGGAAAGATTCATCTTCTCGAGATATTGAAGCCAAAAAATTATCCTTAATTTTGTATTCATTGTCAACGCAGTGCAGCAGCTAGCAGACCTAGAGCAGGCAGTCTTGCGTGCTCATTGGCTGCCCTGCGGGCATCTGCTGCAGCCTACCAGTGAGCCCCGCGTGACGTCACGCCCAATGAAGGGCGCCCGCGCCTTCATAGCGTCATAGCCCGCCAGTATGGGCGTGGCTTAGCGTATAAAAGAAGGGGCTGTAGGCTGAATTCCCTGATTTTCGTCTCTTCAGCGAAGCCCTTCGCATCGCTGGATTTGAGAGAAGCCGCCGCCGCCGTCGAACAGCCAACAGCCAGCTTAGGACAGCGCTGAGGAAGCCGGCCATCTTCGCCACCTTCAGCCATCTGTGCGAGCTACGCTATCCGGCGACGTATCCTTTTTACTTTGTTTGTATTCTCTTTTAGCACATTACTCCTAAAAGAGCAGCGAGCGTCTTTTTCAAGATGCCTTGCACTTCCTGTGGCTCGTGCAGGGCACCGCTCAGCGTCGGATACCGCCACGTGATCTGCGCTCTCTGCCTGGGCCAGGAACACGCGGAGCTCGCCCTCGCATCCGGGGGCTGCGAGTTCTGTGAAGCGCTTCCGCTGTCGACCCTGCGGGCTCGACTCGAAGCCTTCAACCCGGAAGCAGTCACTCCGCCCCTTGTGGGACCGTGCAAAAAAAGCGCCGTTCCCAGAGACAGCCGGAACCCATGGCCACAGCGACGCGCTCGCCGGAGAACCTCCCTCGAGCCTCGCTCTCGCCTTCCCCGCCTCCCTTCACCGACGCGCAGCTGCCGCTCACGACCCTCACTGCCGTCGCGTCTGAGGATGAGGCCGAAGGACACGCCACGAGAGACTGCTGCTCCATCCTGGCATCGGATAGCGAGGAATGGTCGCTAAACTCCGCCTCCTCGTCGATCCAGGAATCCGGCCGTACCCGCGCTGGAGCTGATGCGGAGCTGATGCGTCTGCTGACGCAGGCGGTTGACCGACTCGGGCTCGAGTGGTCGCTGCCGAAGGAACCCGCGCCAAACAGGCTCGACGGATGTTTCCTGCAAAGTCGCCGCCGTTCAGC